TCCGGACCCTCAGTCGCTGATCGGACGTTTATCCGAAGCTTGTTGATATGTAGCGCGCGCGCGATGTCATATCAGTTCGTGGATCAAATTTAGAGGAGCTGAGGAAGGTGCAATTCCAATGTAGTATACCTTCCTGGATTGCTTTGTTGCTTTGGTTTCCTTCAAACTAAGCGAGAGGGGGTGCGGGGGAAGGCGCAGCGCCTTCCCGCAACAAGTCTAGTGGCCTCGTTGGAAAAAAGCAAAAAGAGGACATATACTAGACATAAGACAACAACAAATAACAAAAACGGATTTACCTAAAATGACAAAATAAAAATGAAAGACAAGCCGCGCAAGAAAAAACATCAGAAGGAACAAGACACCTGGAGAAAAAGACGCGCCCACAAAAATAAGCCACCAGAAGAAATATTAGGACCGGAGACACAGGAGCGGGCAATTGGTGGTTGGTGGTTGGTGGTGGTTGGTTGGTGGTTGGTGGTTGGTGGTTGGTGGCGGTTGGTGGTTGGTGGTTGGTGGTTGGAGAGCACCAAGTCCGCGCCTGCCACGCAAATGCCACCGCAGAGCGGCGGAGACCCAGACACGCCAGAGCGTCTTGCAGAGCACCAAGTCCCGTGCCTGCCACGAAAAAGCCAGAGCGGCGGAGACCCAGGACGCCAGGGCGTACATCCGACCCCTGGCAGAGCGGAGAAAGGCGCATGGAATCAAAACTGCGGTGCAGCGAGACGATGTGAATGTTCCCGCTTCTGGAGCCCATTGCGAAGGCCCTCCCCATCCTTTGAAGGCTTCAGGTGTTCCTATCACAGTCATTTTTTGGCAATGGTGTTCTGAACTCCTTCGCAATACTCCTTTCTTCTTCATGGCCTCCACGACTTCGCCGCTTTTCCCTTTGCCAGAAGACGGCTTCACTTGAAACGACCGCTTCACATCATAGTGATGGCCTAAAACTACTGGCATGGAGGTTGGGGTGGCCTTCCCAACGAAAAGCTTCTGTCAAAAAGCCCTTCTAAAGCACTGCGCTGTGTGTTTGTAAAGATCAAGGGCATCTTAGCGGGCGACGGCCCTGGATCAGAACAACTCGAAGTTTTGAGCAGTGGCCGGCGTTTTCCCCAATTAGTTGCAAGACTTGCTGAGCTTTGTGACTGCTTGACAAAACTTGGGCCATGCGGCCCTTACAGTAGGAATAACAAGGACATGAAGTACCTCTAGATAAGCTGCCTCAACTGAGGCGATACGCGGCGCTAGATGCCTACCGGTTGAAGCTTGTGGCTGATGGCTCTTTCGACGCCGTCGCAGAGTTCCTTGAGGCTTATGCATGGCACCTTCCTCACCCTCACTGGCCCCGATGTGTCGGACAAGTCCAAGAGAGGCCGTCAGTGTTGGTGACGTTTGCCGCCCATGCCCAAAACCTGCATTCCAAGCACGATGAACTCTAGGTCCGGCTGCTGAAGTGTCAAAAGGTGTTCCGGGGACCGGCTCAGGTCCGTCCTCGACCCAAGGAAATCGGTCTAGCTGGACCGCCATGGGCAGAGGAGTGGTGGGCTCAATGATTTCACACCCAGCCGTCACTTGGGAGTTGGAATCACGACCAGCTGACCCAGACGACCATCCTCCACCCAAACCCTGCCTCTCAACTGCCACTGTGGGCTGACGAAGACCCTAGCTCGACGCTCCAAGACCCTCGGCCTTTCAACCACCTCCTCAGCAGCTCTGGAAGAGTGCCAGAGAGGAGAGAAGCCAAGGGCAAGAGGAGTTGTGCAGCCAGATATCCAAAGCAAGTCTCGGCAATGGCAATGAACCAGGGCAAGAGATGCGGTGAGAGAGGTCGGAAAGAAGGGTCACGCTATCTAGCACCGAACTAAGTCTCTCAATCATGCCTTGAGGTGTAAAAAAGAGGTTGGCCGGGGTCAGACTTAATAGACAATTCCAACACTACAATGAGTACAACAAGATCAGCACCTGAAGCTGCCAGAAAGTCTGTGTCAGTTCTACAAAAAGGCCATACGTAGCCACACTACCACAAGCTTAGCCATGTTCACATACCTCTGCAAGTGCCAAATATCATGCGTCAAGATTCACTCTTTTCAAGCAAGTCACCGTTTTGCAAAGAGGTTCTTCTCGTGCGTCAGCTTCACGGCGTGAATGTAGGCGAAGGAAGCATCGTGTCCGAGCATCTCTGCATAAACTGCACGAATCATGTACTCCTCACCAAGTTGTCCCCAAACCCGAGTTACCCATTAAAGAACATGTTCGTTTACTCCGGGTCAATTCCTGTCCTTCATCTTCTTGGCCGAAATGTTGGGCGCACTGAGGTGCTGCTTCAGAATAGCAATTTCTCCAACAATGATCTTATCCTCCTCTTGCTTGGAGCGTGACTCGCCAATGCTCTTCACCAGCTCGAAAAACTCCTCCGACTTGGCACGCAAAAATAGACTCTGCAATATCCTCTGTTCACAGAGCCTTGCTCAAATGGCCGCCACTCATGATTTGCACCTCGGGCCCAGACATCAAAGCTCTTCAAACATCTTCAATCCAAGAAGCCGACACCCACCCCACCCTTCACTGACTTGCCTTCACCAGGAGCAGACATGGCACCAGTCCGGTTTGCAATATGTATCAGCTGAAACAGGGCAGCAGAGTCAGACAATTTTCTACTACTCGAGCGGGCAAGCCCTGGATTAGCGAAAGAGAAACTAGATCCCCTGCCGCACATTAACATAATTTCAAGAAAAGATTTTTGGTCAGTGCTGCCATTTGTTGCTGCAACAGCACACTGTTCTTTTTCGTACAGGTGGTCATTGAATTTAACATTCTGCTTGGCATGAATTCACCAACCTGCTCCACGGCAGGCATTTCCGCCAAAAAACTAGATCTGATGCAGTCAGCGGTAATGGACATTGCCCGTCACCTGTCTTCAATCTGTGAAACGAGTGCATTGGAGCCTCATTGTCTGTGCTCTCTGGCTCCATGAGCCAAGAGTCACGACGCACAGTTGTCTCAAATTACAATATGAGTTATTTCTCGATATGTCGTCTTGTCGGACCATCCAATGAGGCTTCCTTCTTTGTGCACATGTCAGATTATTCACGTCGAGGAATGGGCGTAAGCACCCAAACACTCCGAGTTCTGACAAAATGACGGGCATCATCGGTCCTCCAAAGATCTTCCAAATGTGGTAGATCCATCACCTCCTGCAAGATGTGAAATGTAAATTGTTTATAAACGACAATCGGAAAGTTGGTGCGACAGAACGACGTACCTGCAAAGTCACCTGGCACATTCGCCGTTGAACGTGTACAAACCGCTCTGCCCTCGACAACTCACGACAAGAAACCCAAAACAAATTGCCCATGCCTGGTGAAGTGCCTTTTTGGATGTAAACAAGGATTTCGTCAAATTTTGCCTGCCACAAAGAAACGACAGCAGCCCTCTTGCAACCATGGTCGCCCTAGACAACTGACACATGTTTTCAAGCAAATCCACAGCCTGGAGCTGGCACCATCTCTCAGAATTGTGGGTGATCATCCCCAAAATCTGTTCGTTGGTTGAAGTGCGCTCGGCCATTTCTTTCTTCACTGCCTTATCCTCAGTTTTGCATCGTTTCAGCACAAGCCGCGGTCATTCAATATCTGGGGCCACCGCCAAAGCATTGATACGATTGACCACAGAAGCCTTCAAGCATACGCTCACGGAAAAAAAAGGTCTGGTCAGCGGTCACCTGCCGCTCGAACTTGAGAGGAGGCAGGTGGCCAAAAGGGTTGCAGGCAGGGAAGGGCAGGGCAAGAAAGAGAGAGAGAGAGAGTGTGAGTTCACATGCAAAGCAATCAGAAGTGCAAGCCGACCAAAAAGAAATGCGGCGTTTCTTGCTGCGGCTGCAAAGTTGCTCTGCTTGAAAGCTTCAAGCCTTTAAAACGTTTGGTCCTTTTTCCTTGGAGCAAAGCAAAGTCAAAGCAGCACACCCTAGATGCATGTTCTCCAAAAAGGGCTACCATCATACTGGAGAACTATGGTTTGGCTGGTGTAGCTAGCATTGTAGGGCACAACATCTCGGTGAAACTTTTGTTTATCCTGGTTGAGTTGAGCGTAGCGCTCAAGCGTTCATAATGTATATGCACACCCACACCGAATGACACTAATAACTACCCTCCATCTGTCTATCTCTTGCCCGGCTTCCCCACAATCCTCCCAACATACATCTTGATCTCTTGCAGTGTATTCGTGGGCCCCGCGGCCAAGAGAAATGGCCCCCTTTGCCCAAACATGGAATCAACTAGTCAAAGGATCTTTTGCTGGAACAAAACTTGCTGGATAATGCACTAACAGAAAACCATTATGACAATCTAATGGAAAGTCTAGAAGATGTTGAAAGAAGGAACATAGAAAAGACAGAGAAAGTGATAGGACTCAAAAGAAACACTGAACAAAGGCTGCGGAAAAGGAAACGGTGGAAGAAAAAAAACAATTGGGTCAAAACAGGCTCGACAGAAACATCCGAAGACAAATAAATAGGAAACTGGATTCTGGCATTCTCCCGATAACTGGATTCTGTCCATCTTTTGAAAAATTGGAAAACCTGCGATTCCCAAAGACCCCCAAAAAGAAGTTACCCCCAGTCCCAAATCCCAGTGGTTTTGCACGGATCTAAACGTTCGACCTACTCTCTGCACTGTATCTGAGCCTATTTTTTTGTCTGCTATTTCCTTGTCTGTCTCTTCCTTCAGCCTACTGTTTGACAAGAAAACTCTATGTTCATAAATTTACAGTACGATCTTATTAAGGTCCAGTGAATTGCACCTGCTGCCTTCATAAACATAAAACCAATGGCCATGGGTGGATGGGTTTTCACTGAAATTTCCCATTGTTTCAGAAAAGTGACAAGTGCTATGTATGTTCACAAGAGCTCGTCAGTTCGTGAACAACCTAGTGTTTGGGTCCCCTTGAGGCCTGACCGCCTCCGGATAGGAATAGGGGCGTGCAACCCCTGTTTGTCAACTCGAACAAACAATTGCCAAAGTTCTGTGGAAGCACCTGACACGTTTGCCCACAAAAGTAACGTCTCAAAACTGCAGAGCTGAGATGGCCCGCTTCCAGAGTATAACCCAGTCACACGTGACAACTTGGCAAAGCCGCGTGGCAATAGCGCTGCAGAAATCACTTTGAAGTTGCCCAGCACACACAGTGTAGGCTCATCACTCAAGGTGTGCACATGCCAACAGGAAACTACATTAAAGACCAAATGCGGCACCTCTTTGCAGCAAACCGCTGAAGGCCAAGCCAAGTGCAGATGGGACAAAGCCCACTCAACGCTACAAAGTCGCAATCTGCCCATGCTTCTGACTGTCAGAACTGCGTCAGAATTGCATTTTAGTGCGCGAGAGCAAAACGACTGCTGTTGTGTATATATATATATATTCTCGTTGGTGTAGTCGAACGGCACACGAAGTCCGCACACGAGTTTCGCTCGTTTCCGCTCTCGCGAACAAGTAGGGGCGTCGCCCGGTTTGCTCAAGGGCCCTAAACATACGGGAAAAACATGTACAAGTGTCTTGCGACAGTCAGACATCTAGACAGGCGGAGAATGATGCGTTCCACTTCCTGTAATGAAAAACATTCAATCTTCTACCGTAGCCTTCGATCTCCAATCATCATTTTCTTCTCTCACTAGTGCTCTTGGCCCTTGCTTTCACAGTCGGTCTTCATAGCAACTCACGAACCTCCAGGCTCCCTCATGCATGGTAGTTACCATCTCATTGGTGCGGTGGCTATGGCTTGATCGTGTCTGTTGTTGCCGATCACACCTTTGCCCTTCCAAGAACCGCAGGCGCTCTGCCTGATGAGGATCACCATGTTCATTTCCTCCTTCTCTCTCTCGAAGCTCCCGAATCACCTTCTCCTTTTCACGAGCATCCAAATGCAGCTCCATCAGGAAATTGAAGTGTGAATTGAGGAACCTGTGCCATTGCCTTATCTCCTTGTCCGATGTGGTCGCACAGCTGACCTGTAGGGTGAGCTTGAGGTATTCTTCGCGTCGGACCGCTGGAAGAACGTGCTGGAGGATGTGTCCTCTCATCTGGGCGGTCACTGCCGGAGTCCACAGGACTTCATTCGTCCATCTCCACTTCGCCTGACCAGGCTCCATCCTCACTTCCTCATAGAGGCTCATCCATCGGTCGGAGACAGCATGATCCAGCCTCAGTCCATCATCTCTCTCTTCCACCACGTCCATAGGCCTTAGGTCGCCATGGCTCGTTTCTACCGGTCGCGGGTTGTCATTCACAAGAATGCCCTCATTCGCAAACAAAAAGTAGAAACTCTTCAGGCGCTGGATGAGCAAATGCATCACGTCCCTCAACATCCACGATGAACAAAACACTCCCAGCACAGCAAACAGGAAAATAACCAGGGCCGTGTTGGTCAATGGCCTCCCTTCGTCGTTCTCCTCCTCTTTGGCCTCAGCTGCTGTGATCTCAGATGCGAGGAGGGCCACGGCACACTTCGCAGCTTTCTGCCACTCATCACCGCCGTGTCCTTGGCGAAATCGATGAAGGTAAAAGTGCCTCCTGCTGTAGTACCTGTTGCCGTCTCGTGCGTTGTCCTTGTGTTTGTTGCATCCTGGTAATGCACACATGCCTGAATCTCCGTGGCCATCACCTTTCTCCACGAAGAACACCTGCCCATCGAAAAGCTCCTCGGCGGCCTTCTCGTACTCCTGGTTTTCCTGCTCCCGAGACTCATGGCTCACCTTCTCTTCAGCAATGAAGTTTGGGTCATACTTCAAAGCATGAACTCCTCGGGCAAGAGTGTGGGCCAATGCGTCCTTCGCTGATGGCTTTGTGAGTCCGTCGGCTAGTTGCTGCAGGGAATTAACCCATCGAAATTGGCCCAGCGCTGCTCGATGGCTGTGCGCCTTTCCGATAACTTCAGACCAGGCGTCACTGATCCTGCACTGTCATACAGCGCCTTCGCATCGGTGATGACCGGCGACTCCTTGAACATGTGCATCGTCTCATCGAGCTGGATGGCCACATAGGGGTTCACGGTCGTGGCAAAGAACACTTTTGCCCACTCCAGCTCGTCCACTGCAATGGTTGCAGCTTGGGCCTCAGCAGAAAGCGAGCTGCGGCACATCCGTACAAGCTTTTTGCTTGCCCAGTCAACCACCGTCAGAGGGAACGGCGCTTCACCTGCAATCTCGGATCGTGAAGACATAGTCCTTCACCACTTCTTTCATGAACCTCAAAAATTTGTTCGCCTCCAACATGTCCTTCACTGTCGGGCGATTGATGTTCGCCTGGAGGATGCTAATGGTAGCTGCTTGTGGCAAACACTGCGTCACCGGCCATGACATAGCGCCCACCAGTGCTCGAAGAAGCCGATGCTCTTTCTCATTGCAGTAGTCATCTACCATAGTCTTTCGGCTCTTCTCCAAACTCAAAGGTTTGATCTTGTGGACGTACTCCTTGAGGGAAACGGTCAAGATCTCCAAGTCAGGTGACTGCTGGAGTTCTGCGCCGCAAAAGCGCATCTTCTCACCAAAGTCCCATGAACCAAACCGAAACCTCTTGGACAGGTAGTGCACTCGGTGGCGAAAGGTGTCACACGCACCCGTTGCATCCCATTGGATGTCTTTGAGGCAGCTGATCCATTCTCCAGCGCCCAGAAAATCATCTACGTGCAAACCAAGTGCTCCGTCCACAATCCAGTGCTTGCCGTCCTTCTCAAAGACCAGGAACGGATTGTCATCTTGTCCTGCAAGCCGTAGGGACAGGTAGAGACAGCGATCAAGGGGGCGATTGACCAATCCCAATTCCTTCACCAGGAACGCGTTTGCCGTCTCGTTCCATTGGCGTGGAGCGCGAACATCGCCGAATGCCGGCTTGGTCGCCTTCAGGATCTCGTCACTCTTCAACCCCATCAGACGTTCAAGCCGTCTCCTCATCTCTGCTGGCGGCTTCACATAGATCCTGGTTGTCTCATCGATTGAATCTGACTGCATAAAGGCGGACTTGACATCGGCGCACCAGAGCTTCCCCTGTCGACGCACTGCCCACACCATCAGGGTAATGCGACCGAAGCGGCTCAGAGTCGGGGATTCCTTGATCAAATTCTCAGTCAAGACGTCCTTGTGCCGGAATCCCTGCAAGATGACTCTGGCGTTTGCCTTCTTCCCATCGGCCGTGGGCTTCCACCGTTGAAGGAAGCGAGCAGGCACCACCTCGCCTTCTCTTGCTTCACCTTCTGGTACCGCTTTCCAAGCAGCATTCTCGATCCAAACCATGAGGGCGGCATCCTTGGCCTCGTCAAAAGCCTTCTTCTCTTCTGGAGTCAAGTACTTCTCATTGAAACTCTCTGCCATGAGCATCTCGTCCTCGTCAAGGGGCTCCTGGGTGTCCATGTACCTTTGGAAGGCAGGATCGTCTCCTCTCACAGCCGGTAGACCATCAAGCTGTTGTGTGGCATTGTATGAGCTCAAAGCCACTGCTCGTTCATCACGATTCTGCGGACTGCGGGATCTTCCTCTTGGTGGTTCAACCGGACTCTCCTGACGCTCTTCCGTCATCTTCTCAAGCTTGGCCGAACTTATCTTCAACCTTCTGGAGGAAAACGTAGGCGAATCCAAAGGTGAAGGGCACCGAACTCAAAGTCAGCCTGGAGCTGGCCTGCTCCGCTACCAATCTCGTTGGTGTAGTCGAACGGCACACGAAGTCCGCACACGAGTTTCGCTCGTTTCCGCTCTCGCGAACAAGTAGGGGCGTCGCCCGGTTTGCTCAAGGGCCCTAAACATACGGGAAAAACAGGTACAAGTGTCTTGCGACAATCAGACATCTAGAAATATATATATATATAAAGGCCCCACCTAGCCCACATGACCTCTCCACCCACATCACACACAACATTCTGGCGAAAAAGTCTGTTGCAGCGAACTAAACGTCCTACCAACTTGCTTGCAGCCACCCCTGGCTAAGCCTGTTTGTGCGAGACATTGCAAAGTTTTGTTGCGGAAGGCCCTTGCTCTCTATATTGTGACATTATGAGAGGCCAAATCGAAGCCATAGTTGGAAGCGCTAAGATGTCAAAATTCCTCAATGTCTGTAACCCGGTGGCATGGCATATATACCTCAAGTGATCTTTACATTTTGTGAAGGCAGTAAATTTCATTCGGTGCCTCAACCCAAGCTTGTGAGGAAGATTCTGATTCACTGAGCCGCGTCTCTGTCCACTGTCGCACAGCTTGTTCAACGCCTGGGAGGCGTCAAAGCTGCAACAAAATGCAACTCAATGCTCAGCGTACTCGGCTGCCGACCCTCCAACTTCATCTGCAATTGGCTCTTGACCTCAATCAAACCAAAGTTGGCTACAAGTCTGGCTCTCTTGATAGGCTATCATGTCGCTCACTTTCCTCCTAGACCAATGCAACCCCGTCGGAATCCTCCACTCCAGACTAGTTAATGTGATACTGTTCGATCAGCCAGCGCCCTGGATTCTTGTTATTAAAGGGATCCAGGAAATAGTTCCAAGAAAATCGGGACAGGACGGTGGTAGGATGCAACATTCTTAAACGGCATTGTCAACAGGATGTCAGAAAGTGCATTGTATCGTCCCGGTGCAAACTACTGACACTGATTCCAACAAGCTCAACTGAAATTGACAATGGAATAGTCTTGTGCTTGCATATTGCAAAGATTTTCCATAGTATATAATGATTCAATTCCATCCTTCGTTGCATGTCAGTAGTGATCAACAAAATAGTCTATCGCAGTGTCTTCCCACATTCTTTTTAAAACAATGTCTGACCAAAATTGCAGTCTTTCGCTCCTGGAGTTTCTTGCTGACAATCATTGCTTGACTAGATAACTGGCACAAGCTCAGAAATTCAACGTCTGGTCACTATGGCCTCTCGACAACTGGACTTTGGGTTTCGTCAATGACCAAGTGCTAAAGATGTCCTTCAAAACAGCTTGTTGTGTGTTCCTCAAGTGTCAGGAAGCTTAAAGCTGCACGCTTCAGCGAGGCCCTATGCTCAACGTGTTTTGGTTTTTGACTGGAACCCAAATGCACCATGCTTGGATGCTTCACAACTTCTTGGTGAGGAACATCGGTAGTCTCGGTCTTAAACTGCATGCCCAAAGTCGTCTGCACCTGTGGTGCTCTCTTTGCAAGAGATGCATGTTCAACTCTCCAACTGGAAAGGCCTCGTGGTTGGAAGATTCGAGGCACTGTCGAACCTCTTCAAGCCGCCGGTGAAGGCCTGGAATGAATTCCGATCATTAGTTTGAAGAGATTTCAGTTGTTGAACATCGAATATTGAAAGATGGGATCGTGTTTGAAGGATTGCAAAAGGTCCGATTCTGGAGCCTTCGAGTGCTTCTCTCTGTTTGCTTTCCGTTGCTTCAAGCAGCTGCCGAAAAATTTGGTCGGCTTGCTCGATGGATTCTTTCAGTGCTGCTGAACCTCGGACCATGAGACAAATAAGAAAAGAGAGCGGGTGGTCATGGGGCCTGGGTTTTGGTTTTCCCAAAAATTTTAGGTAAATGCTTCAGTGGCAGCCCCTCTCCAGATAATCATTTTTAGATTTAAACAACTATATAGAAACCTTGTATGTTAAAAGCTTTCTTCTAGATTTCTGCGGGTAAGAGCTTGCATTTTCAATGTTTTCCTCTGGATCTCTGGGAAAGTAGATATCCCATATATATATATATATGTGTGTTTTCATGAAAGGAAAGCTCTTGAAAGAAAACTTATTTATTGATATATAGCATGTTTAAACTGACATGACCATTTCCGAGATCCGAGAGATCCAAAGGAAAGCTTTTGAAATGAAAGCTTTATATATATTTTTTTTGTAGAAATGCTCATCCCCAGAGATCTAGAGGGAAGCTCTTGAATTAGCAGCTTGTACATAAACCAGTTTTAATATGTATATATTATTTCCAGTGATTACTGTAAATAAATATATCTAACTATTCACTCCAAAAAAGAGTTTTAGTCTCGTTCCCAGCACTCCCAGGGAAAAAAATACTGTAAAACACAGGGTTTTGCAGCATGTGTTTTCTTAAACTAAATAGACTGGAGCTAGAATAGAATTAGGTAGAGTTACATTGTTTTTGAGTTAGAGCTAAGATAGAATTGAATTAAAACCAAATTTCAATTAAACTTGTATTGAACTATAACTATAATCTGTTTAAAATTAGATGAGAGTTGAATTGGAAAGGAACTGGAATTAAAATTAGAAGTTCGCCAGAATACGATGTAAAACGCTTGAGCTACAAGATGCACAAGTCGAGGAGGCTTCGAAATTACAAAGCCGAAGCAAAAGCAACAAGCATTGAATTAGAACTACAGCTTACACAGATTCATAACAATTTCATGTAAATTGGAAGGTGTCATTACTCTGGGGGCGTGTCTTTGTGACTTTGTGTATCTGGAATCATAGGGGGCCTTTTGGACTGCAGGTGCACACGGCATGAATGACCTACCGGGCGCACTAAGCTACGGTCGTGGATGGGAGGGGAAGGCTGATCACCTTCCTGCACATGCTTTTGCGAGCATGTAACTACCTTGCGCTCGTAAAGTCCTAAAGGTCTTCAGGCCGTTGTAAGATGATTCAGGTCTGCAAATGTGCACTCGTTGCTCGTTTTCGCTGTTTCTTGTTTTGGACTAAACTACTGTGGACTTGGAACTTTTGAACTAGAACCTTTGGGAATCTGCAGCTGGTGGGACACCTTTGCATGCGTTGTACCGAGGAACTTTTTTTCACAAAGGCGTTGGGGCAAGTGGCATTCAGACCCTACGTACTTTCTCCCAAGTGTGCAAAGTCAAATCAAATAGAATACTGAGCTTCCTGCCACTGACGTGCTGTTCTTGCAATGACCGAATCGCCTGCAAAATGTTGGAGCCTGAAACAACCTGAATGCAAGAAGTATGTCGCCTCCTTCTGCTCTTCCAGCATTCGTGTCGTCTGCAGGCCATCATCAGCCGCCTACAACGATGATTTGGTATTCCAGCACAGTGGTGTGACGCTAATCGCAGCTCCTTCTGAAGTCCAGCATTCTGGTCGCTGACCATTTTCTTGAGCTCCATGAAATCCTTCGCAGCTGTCACTTCTTTCATTTCTTGCCTGGCACATTTGCTGATGGCACATTTGTTGAAATGTCGCATCATTGCATCTACATTCACCTGCTCTTGCTGCTGACACAGTAAATGAATATATATATATACATAGGAGACACACCTAAAGCCACTTTCTGTAGCCATTTGCAGCTCCCTCCTGAGCAAAATTAATCGTGACAAATCTTGGCCAATCTGACTTCTGGAATTTGTGCATGAGGAAGGCGCTGTTCTTTGAGCATTTTCTCGCATTGGTCAAGTCGTGCTTGCAGGCCGGCGTGCCCGTTCATACCAACAACCTGCACACCAGTGGTTGTCGTCAAATTTGTTCGCACGGATCAAGATGCCTCTTGAAGTCGCTGCAAATCATCTCGCACCGCTGTTTGCTCCTGCGGGCAGGAACTGACCACATGATATGTCTAAACACGTTGCCAGCAATTGGACACCCCCTCCGACAACTGTTGGCAAATCTCCTGCCCAAGCCGCGGAATCTCCGTGCGCAATTCCACAAACGAGTCCTTCACGCAAACTCGACTGTCTCAATAAGGACCAACTCTGAGGCTGGGCTCAGGCTTGGTCAAAGCTCTGAGGAAACCATGCCCAAACCTTGTGGTGCTTCGGCTGTGCACTTGGCTGCTCAAGCTAAATCCTCTCAACACAAGTCATTGCCTCCTAGGGCCCATCTTCAAAATCATTGCTAACTGCAGACTCATTATCATTTGGGGCACTCGGAGGTTATGTCGCATGACGGCCAAGCCACTTGCATGGTCTTTACTTGGGTGGCTGCACCCGCATTTGGTGGCAGCCGAACTTCCCAATAGGCTTCAGGCACGCAAAAACATGATAGACGCATAGAAAATGTGCAAAGTGATGAGCCTTACGTCAAGTCACACAGCAATACCTTGAAAGGATGTTTTATAGCCACAGTCATTCCGCCCCTCAGCAGTCAAGCGTCTGACCGTTTTCTTCTGAGGATGCGGAGGAAGAAGGACGGTTTCAGCGAACAAGGCAAAGAACGGTTTGGAGGAGTGAAATGCGTTGGAGTCAAAGACTTGAAGGATACTGGCTGAAACCGACACATGTCGAAGGAGGATTCGAAGAAAAAGAAATTGGAAGGTTCCTTTATTAGGGTGTGGTGGAGAAAAGTAGAGAAAAGTGGAGAAAAAGTGGTGATGAGGGATTGGGAAAAGTGGAATGGGGGGTCCCTTAGATACCCTATACAGTGGATACCTGCAGGAATATTTTTAAAACACGAATTCCTTAAGGTTGGGGCTTCACAGCAACAATTATTCCAGGGGGGTTTCAAATGTCCTGGAATGTTCATTTCTGTAACAAGAATGCACTTTTAATATACCTGGGTACTTACACGTCTAACAAACAAGTATTCCAGGTATGCCTTGACCTCTGTTTTCCTGAATGTTGACAGGTTTTGACATCGTTTCTGACGTTTCCTTAATTAAACATTCCAGGCTATATCTACCTTTGGCTAAGGCTATACTAGATTCCACGGGTATCCTCACCTACTTTTTGATGATCACCAATGATTCCATCATTTTCAAGATCTCTCAGCATAAAACATATTCCAGAAGCAGCTGAAGGGAGGGTATCGCATACCTGCAGTAAAAAAAATATTCAAAAAAATATAAACTATTCCAGATTAAATATTCCAACGCAAGGGTGTACCTGGAATATTTAATTAAGGCAAAAACAGATCTTCAAGAATTGGAATCTGGAAGGTGTATCTTTGAGAGCTGTTCCAGATTCCAGTTGCCTCTATTAGCCTCGGCTCCAAATGAATCTCTACCTGAACCGACTTTTGGAGCGCTCAGGGCAGTGCGAAACCCAAAATAGCATCTACACAGTATGACAGGGTTCACTCACATATGTAGGATATGTTTCAACTCACCGCACGCGGGAAGGGGGGGGCTTTGGCAAGGGGATTCTACGTTTGATTGATGGATCGCGGGCTGCTCTTGCTTTCGCAGAAAATGTAGGGATTGGAAACTACCAAGGCCCTATGGGTAGTTTGCTTGAACAAGCAAGGGTTGACAACAAGTAACATTTGATATTGAACCGATTGGCAGAAATGAGTTTAGTATCGGTGACAAACAAAGGAAAGTCAAGACCAAGGCAAGCGCAGGGATTGATGGGCAAAGGGATATCGCAAAGAAACATAAGGTCTGTGTCAACTCACTTTTGCCATCCAGCAATCGGTATGTTCATCTTTTCATGGACCATTACTCCTTTCAAGCGTTCCAAGAATACAAATGTACAAAACCGTTTAGACTGCTCTGCGTTGAGGGAAGAGCACATCCCGACGCCAACCTGAAAACACCCTTCGGAGTTGTCATCTTGTACACATGCGAGTGTTCTCTTCATTGGCAGCGACCACAAGCATGTATGCCGGTCTTCTTGTAGTTTGTCATGTGTCATAATTCATCCTAGTCCAGGTCTTTGGTCACTTGTGTTCACTGAGCTATGGCAGCCTCTTGTATAGTTTCTTGTCGGATTGAGCGGCCTAGGACCCAGCTTGGAAACTATTGCCCAGGTTGGAGTGGGGGCCAATCTGAATGAAACATTTTCAAGAGAGGCTAGCATATAGATGTACAGCATCATTGACGTGTCACTCATACAGCTGACTCGCCTGCAGCCCTTTTCGGTTTGAGTTGAAAATTTGCATGGTAGCCGAGCAGGGATAAGGGTAACCCCCTTTGAGTTCCAAAGGAAAAACCCCTAGGTCACTGGGATCCTGGGTGCGATTCGACCTTTGGAACCCAGACAACTGAACTGGTGGAGAGTTGTTGTGAGCAACACTCTGAACCCCGTACATTGTGCCAAAGAGACATTAGCACATAGAAAGGATGGAGGAGATCAGAGAAATCCTTCAAAATATAGCACAGAGCACGCTGGCAACAACATCAGCAGCTGAGGCAGTGAAGAAAGCAGTTGAAGACAAGAAGTCATCAACAACAGATTGGTTAACATTGATAGCAAAGGTCAACATGGTTGACTATGAGTCACAAGAGGAAGAAATCAAGGCATTCAGAGAATGGCCATGGGTCTTTGCGCAAGGTTTGAGTGCAGTTGATGAGGGCTACATGAAGGGTCTGAAGGAAACTCATGGAAAGCCAGAGGACAAGATTGACATGGACGTGGCAACTACAGAGGAGAAAGACCAAGTGCGTCAAGCTTTATGGATTGTTGGCTTCACTGATGAGAGGAAGGGCACTGCAATTGGTGAAAGCTGTGGAGGACATTGATGCCTGGAGGAGTTTGAATAAAGCTTTGAAACCGACTTCAAAGGCAAGAGGCTTAGCACTTTTGGGAGCAGCCACTACATGGCCAGCATTTTCAATGAACAGTGCACTACGACCTCAACTCTTGAAGGTTGAAGAAATATTCGATAAGACGGTCAAAGCAGGGACTGCAAATCAGGAAGAATTGAAAGCTGCTATTCTTTTGAGACGCGCAGGTGGACAACTCAAATCCTACTTGAGTTTGACAATTGGCGACAATGTTGAATACTTAACTTTGAGAGAACAAGCGTTGCAATGGGATCGTTCTCAACAGAAGAGGGCTACTTCCATGGTGGCTAGTAGCAGCACGGACTACCAAGGACCTATGCCAGCGGACATTGATCGAGTCCAAGATGCCCAAAGGAAAAGGTAAGAAGGACAAGAATGACCGTCACAAGGGCAAAAGTAAAGACGCCAAAGGCAAAGAAAAGAAAGGAAAGGATGATCAAAGGAAAAGAAGGCGATCACAAGGGCAAAGGTAAAGGCAAAGACAGGTGTGGCAACATGTTACACTTGTGGAAAACCCGGTCATCTTGCTAAAGATTGTTGGAGGAACCATTTTCGACAGGTAGCAAATCTTCCAGCCCATTCATCTTCAGGAGGAGCATCAGCGACTACCCGTACAGTTGGTCAACAACATGCCAATGTCAGCCAGCAGGGTGGCTGAGCAGAGGCCAAACCAGTGGTCAGAAGGATTGAGAACAGTGAGCCAATCATCTTTGACCTGCAAGAAAGGGATGATGAGCTAGAAGATCAGTGGACTGGAGTCATTTATATCTGGGAGATGATGATGATGAAGAAGAAGAATATGATGATGATGATGATGATGATGATAATGATGATGATCATTATGATCATGTTGATGATGATGACGATGATGATGATGATGATGAGCCAGATCCAGGAAGTTGAAGACATTGACATCTCAGACGATGAACCCATGGCGAGGAGACTGGATGTGGCCCTCATTGTTGACAGTGGAGCCGATGTAGCATTGTTACCTTTGAGAAATGCAAATCATGTGGGAGGAGAGTTGGAATTCAGCGCAAAGACCAACCTACAAGATGTGCAGGGGAACCATATCCCTACTCGGGATGCGAAAAGTCTTGAACTTTCCTTGCATGACCTTGATGGACGAGAAGTTCTTCTCAAAGAGAATGTGATCTTCAGTTCAAAGGTGAATCAGCCCATACTTCGCTATGAAAGGTTGATGGAACATGGCTGGGGAATTAACAGCAGAGAGCAAAGGTTGGAGAATTGTGACTTGAAGGTACCACTCAACTTGCAGAATCGCTCTTTGATAGTTCAAGGCCGCATTTGAATAATTCGAAATGAAGATGAAAGCCTCTTGGAGGCGCAAGTATCTGAAGCTTTGGAAGAGGCATCAGGCTCAAAAAATCAATGAGCGCGGACTGCTAGTTCGGAGCTATTGACTTCAAGATTTGGGGATCCCACAGTCATTCCAGAAGTGGAAGAATCACCTTGGTGAAAAGAGCAGGTCCATGGCTAATGCCTGAATTTTGTGAAACTATGATGGGAAAGGAGGAACTTGATGAGCCATTCTTTGATGATGATGATGATGATGATGATGATGATGCAACCATTCCTGCAATCGCAATCTTCAGCTATGAGCCAGCATCCCCAGAAGATATGGAACTCTTTGCACCAGATACAAGAAGCTTGAGAACAGAGAACTGAAAAAGAAAGAAGTGGAGCAGGCAATCGAGAAGATTACCCCTACCCCACTGGAGAAGGAGGTAGAAGCTCAAAAATCATGTGATCTTATGCGCACCCCCCACGAGCACACCACCCCAAGCAACGAAACATGGCTATTTCAGGAAGGTCCCTATATGGGCTTTAACAAGAGCTTGTTTAGTACGGCACAGTGTCACAGCCAAGCACGCGCAGACTTAAGGCCCTAAATGGGATTTTTCAATTTAGTTTTTTTGGCAACCCTTGATAAATGGCAATGCTAGATATGAGCTTGCACTCTCACTTGTTGGATGTTCGCAACCGATGAAGTGCCGGATTAATAACCGATTGATTTTTGGTCTCGAAACACAGCGTTTTTTCTACGTTTCCTTATTTTGGATCGTCGGCTGGGTTGGTGGGTAGAGGGGGGGCATAGCTTTGCATGAAACAAGAAGCAGAAAAGACAGATGAAGACCTTGAATGTGTACTGCAATTGAGCTCAATAGGGTTGGCTAAGCGTTCTTCTTTGGCAACTTTGAGCGTTGACACACATGCCATACGCCAATTGGTGTAAGGAGTGCGTTGAGCATCGACCACGTCCAGATCGCCATGAGGGAACAGATGAGTAAAGAGAGGAAGTATCCCTGAGGTAAGCTTTGACTATTGCTACACAAGAGCAAGGGACTCAGAAACAAATTCAGCAAGAGCAGTGTGTTGGCTAGTTGCAATTGACAGCCAGACTGGATTCATTCATGCTGCGCCATTAGGGACCAAGAACCAATTTCGCCTTATTGCGCAAGAGTTGGTGATTTTCAGTCAACTGGTCGGGTATTCAGCAATCACCTAGAGGAGCAACAATGAACCCACAACGAGACAACTCCTCAAGACGCTGATCAACTCTCGCCACAACCTAGGACTCACTACCAGATTGGTTACCTCAAAGCTTGGAGATCATTCATTTCTGTCACTGTCAAAGAATACAGTTGACAGGGTGAGGAAGCTTGCAGGAACTTTCATTGAAGGTGCGCAGTCAAGACTTGGTATCACTACAAAGGTGGAATCTGCGTTCGCGCAATTGAACAAAGGTGGGCCACTACATCTTCACAGATTCCTCGAGCGCACGCCAACTTGCGATGAAGAGAGGAGTTGGAAAAGTGAGACACTTGGATGGAAAGTTGCTATGGATTCAGAACAGGAAAGACTTCAAGATGGTACAACCAACAGATAGCAACATGGCAGACACCAACACAAAGCCACAAGGACAAAGAATGAGATACTTGATGAACCTCATTGGGTATTGGCACAATGCGGATCAAACAAGAGTAGGAGAGCGCGAGAGAAAGGTATATGAAGAGGAAAAGAACTTTGTAGGAAAGGTCAGTAAGATTGCCAAAATGCTTGTGAGAATGGTAGCATTGGAGGGCTTGCTGCCAATGGTTAAAGAAGCATTCATCAAAGAGAAAGCAAACACCCAGTGTGGATTGGACGCAGGAAAAAACTGTGTTCCAACATTATTGGTTTGCAGCAGTGATCGGTGTCTCTTCCTGATCTACAAACACTTTGAGATCAGCTATTCCAGCGTAATTGATTCGAGCCGCTTCAGGTTTGAATATTTAGAAAGCCTGATCAGAAGAGTTGAGAAGGAAATTGAAAGACTTGAAAGCAAGACTGGAGAGTGTGAAAAAGATGAGCGTGAAGAGAGAGCTACCCTTTTACACAACTACGCCAAGAGAATTCATTGTGGATTGATTCTCTATGGAGGCTTTGTTGAGAATGAAGTACCAGACCTTCAATCAATCATCAGTTGTGATGCGCTAGGAGCGTTGAACGCGGGGAACTTCTTAGCCAGAAGGAGCTTGGAAGATATGCAAGCGACAGAAGGACAATATTGGGGACATCGAATGATGTTGCAGGCAGCTACAGATGGAGCAACCCCATCAGAAGGACCATTGAGCAGGGTGTTCAAGATAGGAAACAAGGAGGCATCAATCAGAGAGCAATATGTAACAGAGCAACCAAGCCAAATGTGTGGTCGATTTGAAGCAAAACTTGAGCAACTCAATGAAAGACGTGAGTAGAGGAGAGGACTGCAGGAGGCAGCAGATTTGGCTGAGAAATGGAAAAATACCAAGAGCTGTTGGAATGCGCAGTCATGAGGAAAGATTTTTCAGATAGTTCAGATAGACCGCAAACAGAGATACCACAAAGTAGCAGTTCAATTGCTCACTGTGTCAAGAAAGAGTGCGAAACATTTTAAAAAGAGAATAGCGTATAGATGTGCAATATCATTGACATCTCACTTGTACAGTTGACTCGCCTGCAGCCCTTTTCGGTTTGAGTGAAAAGTTCCCATAGACATTAATATATATATATATACATACATACATATGCGTTGGTTGATCAACGTTCATATTTGTCGCGAAGCATCGCGGCCTCATCACAAAACATGGTCCTAAAACCATGTCGAGTGTAGTCAACATGTGTTGGAGTTACATATGCACGCAAACAACAGACATCTTGCAGCATGACGTACACAGAAGGTTGAGAGGTGCCACAACTACTCAAGGTCATTTGCAGCCTCTGTGCGACAGCAGTATCCTGGGTCTTGGGGGAAGCTTATGAGGCTTACCTTTTGCGAATTTTCATTGGTGATTTCGCGGCCGCTGATAGTGGGCGCAGGTACTTCTCCCATTTCTCGATCAGGAGAAAAGAAATACATAAAAGCGAAGGCCTTCCATAAATTTATCGCGAACCTCATCGCGGATCTTTCGCGGAAAGTTTGGACAGAGTCTAGAAGGTCGTTTATGCCAGAGCTGTCCATGCTGTGCGAATCGGACCGACGTGCTAGTGCAGCGTGGCCACCTGTTACGCTTGGAGTAGCAACATCTTCTGTATGGGACAGCACGTCTGACGCTGAGAGATTCCACCAAAGCTTTTGCGCAGCCTGACCAACCAACTGTCAGAGTAAGGTGGGCAAACACCGACCCAAACAGCAGTTTTGAAGAACCACCAAGGGGCTTGTGATCCCCCTACCACACGAGGAGGCCGCTCTCGAAGCGCGTTGGGAGCTAAAGCAAACAACACGCGTGCCCAGCTTGAGCCAAGGTTTGACTTGAGCGTGTTCGCGCTGTTTGCACCGGACAAGAAAAAGAAAGAAGGAGAGGGAGAGGGAAAAAGAGTTTCAACAAAATGTGGTGCTACTTCATTACTGCCACAAAATTAACACAATACGCTGTATTTACACCGATTGCGCTGAAGGATACCCTGGCCTCCACTCGCGATGTCAACCGCATCAAAGATCCTTGCTGAAGCTGAACTTCTTCCCGAAGCACTTTTTGACCGTCCATGCGCTCGCGCCTTCAGCTCACAACAAGCAGCAAAGAAGCAGTCTTGCTGCCTAGGGACGCTGCATTTCTCGCATCACGCTATCTCGCAACCTCTCCACTTCCTCAGGTCAGGCTCAAATAAAAGGACCGGATAACCCCACATGTTAAGCTTGTCAGAACTAACTAGCAACGAGAAGTAGGGACCGAGAAGAAAAGAGGGCGGAAAGATCCTGCGTGATAAAAGTGATGAGATGAGTGATGTGTGATGAGTGGTGTGTGATGAGTGGTAGAAATGAGAAGTACGGACTGATCAGAAAAGATGACAGCAAGATATGATGCGATAATGTGAGTGAAAGAGACAGTGAGGTGAAATAAGAAGTAGTGTATGAGTAAGAGAATGAGTGAGGGAATGAGAGAGACAGAGTGCGCGGGTGTAGCTTCCATCGCGTGTCCATTTAACATGAATTTTTGCAGAGTAGCACCAGTTCTTTTTGCACGGCAAAGGTAGCGCAAGTGTCAAGTCCACTCCACGTAGTGCAGAGTACCTGGCACAGGCGATGGAAGATTGAAAGAGAAAAAACAAAGGATCACTCCATGTGACTGTAAGCAGCACAGTGACAGATTGTAATCTGCATCCGAGCCGTCCTGTGGTTGCCCTCGCGCGCATCGTAGCGAGCAGGAGAAGGTCTTGCCTCATGACAACGTGCCCAAATGGAGCACACTTGGTCAGTAAACCTGGCTTCCGTTCGATGAGATGCCAACAACACCGCGCACACACCCGTTGTCACACCGACTTCAGACGTATACGCGGATCGTCTGCCTGGTCGGAGATGGAAAACGAAAGCTAAACAGTGGTCGAAATGTTTCTTCGGGTTCCTGTCAAATTTAAAAGATTGTGACCACCGCTTCGCCCCTAGCCTGCGGCGCAATCATCGAACCGGTGAGTGAAAAGGTCGTACGTGTGACCAGGAGCCTGACAGTTCGGCATCGCGCGTTGCGCCGCAGATATAGATATAAATAGATATATATATATACACATGTGTCTTGTTGGAATGATAAGCAACGAGATATAAAAAGGCAAAATCCGTGGTGCCTCGCGACCACAACAGCGTTCTGAGTATGGAAGCCTGCCGCGACTGTTACATACAGAATCAGTACTGTAACGTGGCTGCACAAAGCTTTGGGGGCTGAACCGGACCCAAAAACACTCTATCACTAAGATCATGCCAGGTTTTTTCCCCACGTTGACGTGTGGGGTTTTGGTTTTTAGCGCGGTGTCCGCTCCTCCTTCCTCCGCCTCGTTCTCCCGTCTCCACCTGCCAACTGCCAACCAATTGCCACCAATAGCTTGTCATCAACCAATTGTCAACAATCAATTGCCACCCACGAATCGTCACCAACCAATTGCCACCCACCAATGGCCACCAACCAATTGTCATCAACCAATTGCTACCCACCAATTGTCATCAACCAATTGCTACCCACCAATTGTCATCAACCAATTGCCACCAATTGTCAACAACCATTTGTTCAAGAACCAATTGCCACCCATTGTCAACAACCAATTGTTCAAGAACCAACCAATTGTCACCAACCAATCACCAACCAAATTGTCATCAGCCAACTGTCGCCAACCAATTGTCATCAACCAATGATTTTCTTGCCACTTGCCTTTGCAGGGGGTCGGATGTACGCCCCGGCGCTGGCCGGCGCTGGCTGGCGCTTCTGGGTCTCCGCCGCTGTTCCGCTGTGATTTGTGCGCGAGGTGTTCAGAAACACTGTGTTTTACAGAGTTTTGTGGGCGTAGCAGATCCTCCATTTTGACAGCGGTGAAACGCAAAACCGTTGGTTTTTTACAAGGGTGGTGTCGGTAACGCGCGCCGCCCGCGCGTGCACAATCGGAATTTGTTTAGCGATGGGCCCGCGTCAACGCAAAGGGCGCAAAATGTACCCCAAGATGACCCAACTGACAGAGGCCCCGAAGCGCGCGCCAGCGGCTTGAATCCTGGCGCGAAAAGCGCGGTCGCGCTGTTGCACGGGCATGGCTTTTCTTTTTCTGCACTGTCCAATATAACATCGAACCCCTCCGTCGTCAGCAATTTTACGGTGTCTCTGTGTCTGTTCCATTTGTATATACACATGCGTGTCTCTGTGTCTCTTCCGCGTGTCCGTGTGTCTATTCTGTGTATCTATGTCTGTGAATATATATATATATATATAATGTAATTTCATACAGAAGTATGTCACGGAACTGCCTCAAATCGACACTTCGTCACACCGACTCACTGCCGAAAATCGACAGCTCACACTCACTCGCCAACCTCCGCATGAACTCTCGCGGTCACACAAGAAATCACATCACGCAAGGTAGAATTCAACGGCCTCGCGTCGAAAATCATCTGCAAAACTCTGTCTCAGGTTCTGACCTCCAAACATGAAGTCTGTCACTGAAGTGCTTCAAATCGAAACTTCGTCACCCCGACGCACGTCCGACATCGACAGCTCTAAGCTGCTTCTGCGCTAGACGATTTATAGCTTAACGTACATGTCTCGCTCTGTGCCGAAAGAGTTCTGCCTTCGACGCGCCGCGGTGCACCTGGACAGCTTCTGTGTTAACAGCAAACGGCAGTTGCACCTGATTCCTGTGAATCCTGTGAAAATACCATGACTACGGATCCAATGTGCTACAGCCACTTCAAGACAATCCCAAGAACACGTACTGAGCTCCAAACCTTGCAAGACATCGTCATGATAGCGCGCACCGTAACCGAAACGGCTGCAACGCTAGAGAAAGGCAAGTAGAGATTGATAAGAAAGAGGGCGGAAAGATACTGGACGATCAAAGTGAATGAGATGAGTGGTGTGTGATGAGTGGTGTGAGATGAGCGGTGTGTGCTGAGTGGTGTGTGATGAGTGGTGTGTGATGAGTGGTGTAAGATGAGTAGTGTGTGATGAGTGGTGTGTGATGAGTGGTGTTTGATGAGTGTAAGATGAGTAGTGTGTGATGAGTGGTGTGTGATGAGTGTAAGATGAGTAGTGTGTGATGAGTGTAAGATGAGTAGTGTGTGATGAGTGGTGTGCGCTGAGTGTAAGATGAGTGGTGTGTGATGAGTGGTGTGTCCCTTTCGATTTCGCTGCAGTCAACACTTGCGCTGCTGTAAATTTTGGTTGGCGAATGGAGCATCCCTTTCTCGAGGCAGCTGACGCTTCACCCCACAGCCCCGCTGCTGACCAATGCGACGAAGAAAAGGCATGGACGAAGAAAGGGCATGGATCTGGAGGACTGGGGCCCACCGCGTTCCACTGCACAAGATTGATTTCTTGCAGGTCCGCGTCGCCTCCATGGGTTCCACTGCATAAGGGCGTCGACAAGGGTCAGACAATAGAGGACTCCTTTCCAGATCGCAATCGCTTTTGGGCCGAGCTGCGATGAATGTATGTGTGGGCGCGCAGGAAAATCCTTATTTTCGTGTTGGCAAGAAAACACGGAGGCGACTTCAGAGCAAGGCGGAGGAGGAGCGTGAACGTTGTCTATTTCTGTATGCTGCTCAAGAAAAAAGGGCGCGCTGCCACTTTTGGTTGGCGAGTGGAACGCATTGGCTTGGGCAGAACACGCACAAGCGCAAAGGCGGCGTGAGAAGAAGAGGAGGATGAAACAACCAAAGGTATACAGAAGGACTCTGACATGGATCTCGATGGGGCCAACGAGTCCGCAGCAAAATGTCCTCTGGTAGACTTTTGCGCACACTCATCTTACACCACTCATCACACACCACTCACCTCACACCACTCGTCTTACACCACTCATCTCACACCACTACTACGCGTGCTGCAGCTGGTCCGGGAGGCTCTGTGCACTGCTCCTGCCACGAAATCTGCACTCCAGGTTCACCAAGCGCTGCGCCCGCCACGAAATCTACACGGCAGGCAGCCGCGGGCCACGCGCGCCGCAGCTGATCCAGGAGGCTCTGCGCACTGCGCCTGCCACGAAATCTGCACTCCAGGTTCACCAACCACAATCTACACGACCGGCAGCCGCGGCCAGAGGCGACCATGCGCGCCGCAGCTGATCCAGGAGGCTCTGTGTACTGCGCCTGCCACGAAATCTGCACTCCAGGTTCACCAAGCGCTGCGCCTGCCACGAAATCTACACGGCAGGCAGCCTCTGCGCACTGCTCCTGCCACGAAATATGCGCTCCAGGTTAGCCAAGCGCTGCGCCTGCCACGAAATCTACACGGCAGGCAGCCGCGGGCCAGCGGCGACCACACGCTCACCAAGCGCTGCGCCTGAAACAAAATCTGCGCTCAGCCACGCGCGGCCCAGCGGCGCCCACGCGCGCCGCAGCTGATCCAGGAGGCTCTGCGCACTGCGCCTGCCACGAAATCTGCACTCCAGGCTCACCAAGCGCTGCGCCAGAGAGGTGGTGTCAGTGGTGTAAGATGAGTGGTGTTAGATGGGTGGTGTGAGATAGGCGCTGTCAGATGAGTGGTGTAAGATGAGTGGTGTAGGTGGTGTGGGTAGATGGATGGTGGGAGATGGGCGGTGTAAGAGAGGTGGTGGTGTCAGTTGAGTGGTGTGAGATGAGTGGTGTAAGATGAGTGGTGTAAGATGGGTGGTGTGAGCTAGGTGGTGTAAGATGAGTGGTGTAAGATGAGTGGAGGCGGCGGCGGAGGCGGGCGGAGGCAGCGAGCGTGGAGGCAGCGGCGAGTGCAGCGCGAAAAACAAGAACCCCACATAGTGATGTGGGGTAAAACTGGAAGCATGATTTGCTGACAAGGGGCCTGGTTGAGCTGATCACGCAAATCGTGTCCCAGGCTGTGAACTTCCTGCCAAATCGTAAACAAAAACAAAAAACATGCTCTTTCCCTAGATAGCGAGAGTTATTGGGGGTTCTTATTTCAAGTATCGCTGCAGAGCAGATGTGTGTGGCTGCGCGCGCTTTGGTGCACAGTGGCGCGGCAGGGTGTTGCTGACAAATGTCCTGGGCGCTGGGGCTGCTGTCAGATGTTGATGGTAGCGCGCCCTTCCGGAGGCTGGTTGTCTCTGGCACCGGCAGTGTTCGTTTAGAGCCTCAGTCTGCTTATTCTCTGGCCGCGCGGATCAGAGCCCCCTGTCGTCATCTTTCCTCTCTTTTCCTCCTCTTGTCTTCCCCTTCACAGCCCCATTGTCCTCCTCTTATCCTCCTTTTGTCATGTCAGCGCGGGGCAATCAGGCCCAATGTGAGAAAATGATTGCGCACGCGCAAGGTGGGAAAGCACCAGCTGCCAAGCGCGAAGACTGCAGCACCGGAGCATGGCCACGTGGCAGCCTGTCAGCAAGCAAATATGACAGCGTGTGAGCGTGCACTACAAAGCCGTGAGGCACTAGCCACACACTCCACAAAGCACCAAAGCGGATGTCCACTCCGTGTCCTTGCTGGGCCACAGCGTCAACAAGCACACCTCCAACGCCGCCAGTCTTGCTGTTTTGTTCATATGAGGCATCTGAGTAAATGTACCATTCTTCAAGTTTCTGAGCGAGGACCATTCTTGGTTTCCCAAAGTTCAAGCGCTCCAACATGAAATGGAACGCAATCCTCAGGCTTTCCCCACTTTGCTTTTGCGCCCCACTCTCACGCTCGATTAGTTTGCTAAGAACAAGAACACCTAAACGGCTGTGGACAAAACTGTCAGCGAAGCCAAGTTTGCCTCTCAATATCAAGGCTTCTGGACGCGTCAGCTCGCCATGCTAGAGCTCCAGCATGCATTCGGAAGACAAAGAAAAATCGCACACGACTCCCGAGGCACGACGCAACGTTGAAAATTCCAGCTTCTTTTTCCCTTTCTTTGCAAACTCCCAGCCTGTAAGCAGGAAGACCAACTTCATTGCATGTTTTGCACTGTCCTGAGTCGCCGCCCTTGAAATCGTTGTAGGAAATGGTCAACTACAAGCACCTTGCCTTGCAGCAATGAAATGAAGCATTCCTGCAAACCTGAGGAAACAATACGCGCTGCGTGTTGCTCCGAATGGCAGAATCAGCAACTGGCACACTTCCGCACACGAGGTTTCGCGGTTGAATACGCTGAAGTATGCGTATTTCAGGCGGGACTCTTGAATGGATATCTGACGGTATGCGCTCTTCAGGTCATATGTCTTCGCAAGAAGAGCGCTATCTAATGAAGTACTGGTTCGCCAATGCAGCCAGGGTGTCAATCATACGCAGGTCAACTTTGTTGTGTTGCGCAAGTCTCATTGATGCCACTGACTGAGTAATCATCAACCATCCAGGTCTTGTTGCTCTGTTGCAGAGGGAACATGGCATCCATCCAAGCGGAAAGGACCAGATAGGAGCTGTTCATCAAGAGCTCGGTCTCCAGAACTCTTGGTCATGTTAAGGATGGCTGCGCTTTTCAGGTCGCCTCTTTGCGCAATTGCTGAACAGCATTTTTAAAGAATTACTTGGGTAGGCTTCCGGCTTACAAACCAAATATATCTGATACACCTCTGTTTTGAGGACCGTGGTTGACTGCATGATTTGCATTTTCTTGGCGCTCTTTGCTTCAATGGAGCAAAGCTCCCACTCACAGCTCTCTGTCAAATCTTTTGCGTCCCTCTCGGACTGCTTAAATCTCGGTTCTTGTCTCTGACCCGCTCAACGGCAGAGTCCATGCGAGACACCAAATCGTCCAACTTTGAAAATCCTGTCAGGATCCTTGAATACTTGGGGACACAGTTCAAACACTTGGGCATCTTTACATTGGTGATTCGATCGAGCGTCTTGAAGTGACCCGTGATTTTGATTTCACACTTTGTCAACTCTCCGGAAGTCTTTGCGCAATGCACCAATTCACTTTTTGAGTTCCGCACATAGATTTGCCCAAAGGGCACTTGCTCGCGGAAGCTTTCAGGCTCACGACTACGCGCACCAGGTTCTTCATCACTGGTGTCAGAGCTAGAGTCGCTCCCGTTTGATGGTTCAATCTCAATGAACCCCTCGTTGACCATCCATTTTCAAATGAAAAGGACTCAACTGCCCCGCCATCGCGCAACTCTCCTTTTCAATGTCGAACTCTTCTTCTGTGCTTTGCAAATCTTCGGCAAGATTCATGATCTCAGCTGCGCCTGCACCTCCAACCTGGCCATGGTGATCTTGTTGAACTCCGGCTTTGAGGAGAGGCGTCCCTTGCTGCGCAGGTGGGGTGAAAAAGAATGGAATAGTAAAATCAAAGTTCCTTGCTCAGCTATCTCTCCAAATCCCAAGCCAAGACGGATGTTTTTGAACAGCGTCGAAAGCTTTCAGATAGGCTTGGTCTGTAGATCTCTTGCGTACACCACATCGCTCCAACTCAGAGCAGAACAGTGACGTCCTGGAACAGCCCTGACTTCAACGGTCCATTCCTGAACGCGAACACCAACTCAAAATGGTTGCGTTCGAGTTGGTTGTACCCACCAAAAGCAATGAGCCACGCTGAGGCCTCAGGCGCGCTCAAAGGCCTCGTGCCAAAACCTCCACCCATGTTCGGAGTTGGCAACAACGGTCGGTACGCTGTGGCCTGTCAAAATACATCTTCAACCAATCCATGTGCAAGAGGGCACCACCAAGGGTGGATATTGCTCCCTCCACAAGCCAACTTGCGACGTCTTGTGTTCAGTCGTACAAAGAAAAACGCAGCCGTTTTTCTTGGCCTCGACCTCGACATGGTGAACATAACGAATGTCAGACCAGCGAGCCCAAGCATAGCTGCTACAAGAAATGCACCTGTGCTCCCAACCTGTTAGTCAAATTTGAATCGCTGGCCAGAATGTCATGGGGCCTGCGAAGATGCTCAACCTCCATTGGTGGCGCCTGTCGTGTTGGTCCTTTCTCACAATGCTCGGGCCAATGAGTCTTCCAGATTCCCACACTTCTTCAGCATCCTTCAAACCAATTGTGAACTTAGTGAATCTCACAGTTCCAAGACAAGATCCGGGCGTTGTATAGCCTCGTCCTTCCGCAACTCTGTCAGCTCACAAATGATGAAAATACTTCCATACATCATCTTCGTTCAAAGGAAATGGCTCAATATAAACATCTCTCTCTCTCTGCGTGAATAGCATGCCACTTGAAAAATCTCTTCATGGATGAAGCACGTTTCAACAAAGCGCTTGGGCTTCTGATCCAAAACAAGCTTTCAATGTTTCAATCGCACATTTCTTTAGTAGGTCTCTGCGAAAGTCCAGGCAATCTGTGTTCCGACTTTAGTTGCACTCCATTTGCAAGCAATCAAGCCCAACCAAATTCCACAGGCCTTCTCAGTTGCAATGCGTTTGCTAGTCAAGTAGTCCAAATCTTGCGTACGTGTAATCGTTTCCATGCAGCAGGCACTTGAACGATTGCTTAGGTCCAGACTTGGTTGTAGATTCTATGGATCCACTGCTCATGTGCTGCAGGGTTTTCCGAAATAGCATCCACTCCAGGCAACGCAGGCAAGGCAAACACTCTGAGGCTCAAGACTCCGTCCAGTCTCCACAAACTCAAGCTCGTCATCCACAGCACCGTCTCCGGCGAGCAAAGGTTCATGTCCATGCGAAAGGAGGTCATGTTCAGGTTGAACCAAATCCGTGAAACGAAAATCGTCGTCACATCTAAAGGAGCCAACTCAGGCAAAGACTCATGATCATCACTCAAATTGTGTGTCTCCTCAGGCTCCTCCAAGTCATACACCTCCTCGATCTCCTCCGTGGCACATTGCGCCCGGCGAGTGAGACAGCGCACCCGCCCACCCAGTGAGCTTCATTCTCATCTTCGCTGATTCTTGGTGGCACTTAGACACTGCCTTCTTGTATGCCAATGGCACCAGCCGCACCCGCTCGAAAAATCCAACTCGAGGCCGGGGGTTGGTGACGAAAGCTGGCATGGCTTGGAAACGGGATGTGGGTCTCTTGTTGCCAAATGACCTAGTGGATTGCCCTCTCCGATGCCTTGATCAGACGTGGGGGAGGGAGGAGTTGAACCCGCCCGGGGGGAGGGGAGGGGGTGTCTACACATGAATTATTAACTGGGTAGGTCATTCCATCCCCCAGCCAATGACTTGCTAAAGCAAGAGTAACTCCAGCTAGCTGACGTTAGCTTTCGTGACTGCAAATGTTCAAGCATTCTCTTTGACATCATAATTCTTCGATGTTGGCGTCAATACACTCCTAGAACTCACAGCAAGACTAGAATCAATTTTAGCTACGAAACACACATTTTGCTTGCATTTTCATGCAAACAATTGATCCAAATTGCCGATCACCACAAAATGTACACCAACACTGGGTGGTCTTCCAGTGGGTTCGGAATTAGATAGTTGAGAGAGCCAAAAGGCAAACACGTTCTTTTGTTCATATTCACTGCCTGCTTCAAACAGCTTCAACACACTACAAGAACCAAGAAGCTTTTCGTTATCCTCCACTACCACTTTCACTACCAAGTTCTCTCCTCGTTTTCCTTTCTCTAGTTGTCTAGGTTCCAGGTTGTAGGTAGCACCAAAGTGGAGTCCGATGTGAGTAATGCTTGAGCACAGCACGAGTCTTTACAGACTTTTGTGTCTTTCAGCTTCAGAAATCCATCCCAAAGACCTGCAATAGCTCTTGGCGCTGGTCGCGCTCTGCTGACAAACCTGTCCAACTCAGACGTACCAAGCGTCCCAGTTTCCAGGGTGGCAAACTCTAGCTATGACGTGAGTTTTCAGAAGCGCCTTCACCTAGCTGAGAAGTCAGATCTTCCTTCATAGCCTGACTGGAGCACGCGCATGCAGACTCACGCACAAATAAAAACCTCGACCTCGAAACAGAAAAGTGTGGGCCTGGATCTCAGCACGAAGTGCAGTTGTGTCTGCACGAACCTCAGAGGTTGCCTGGCGGTCTCAGTTCGATTCCGAAGGAATGCTGTCTGTTCTCACCACCTCTCATGTTCTATCCCTTTTCGTCGGCAGAAGCATGCGGATATCAGATACGGCCTCTGCAAGTCGTGATGGCATCTGTTCCAAAGACTCGTTGACCCGAATGGCCAGGACTTCCATGGTCGCAAGTGCCTTGACTTGACTTCACAACTGTCCAATCCTTTCGTTCGGTTTGCACAAAAACAGGAACTACAGGTCAAATACCTTTGGTGCATTCTTCAAGATAGCGAAAGCATCTCATCAGGCTTGATCTGAACATTAAAACATCTCACAGGCTGAAGACAAAGAGCCTCCTGCATGTTCACTCCGCCTGGTGTCTACTTCTGACTCTAAAATGAGAAAGATGCTCTTCAGGTTGAAGTTGTGAATCAAGAAAAGAACAGGACGGGGCCACCCCATCTTCCGAGTCCTGGAATTGCTGCTAGCTTTAGTTTCACTGTCATTAAACTTGGCTGGACCGTTTTCCATACGAGGCAAAGCACCTGCAGCACTGTCCACAACCTCAGAACCCGAATCTAAGAAACCCCAGGCCACCCAGGCCAGTACCATATGGAACGTTGAGGAGTTGAGCAGTTGAGCCCTGAGCACCTCCACAAGGCAGCGTTGTCACTGATGACACCAAAGACCCACCTCAAAGTGTGTTCGTTGTGAGCCACAATATCCTAGGAACACTGCTTTTGAACTGAGAGTTCGTCCAGGGCTCCGCAAAGAATTAATATCTCGGTCTTCCTCATCAAATATATTCTTATCACTACTCACATCATGGTTCATTGTAAGCTGTCTCTGCCTGCAATTCATTCTGCGCTGCATCGTAAGCACCTGAGTCATGAAGGCTGGCTGCACAAATGATCATGCCTAATGAAGTCCAAAACAGTAGTTGAAAAACTGCAAGCTGATTTGCTGTCCCGACTATGTTCTGCTAGCTGGTTCCAACCTGCCCCTGGAAAATGTGGCGAAGGTGCAGCCTCGACACAAATCCGATCAAATGAGTCATGCAGTCCAGATCTCCCTGGCAAGTATTGCTAGCTGGTTCCTTCAACAATAGATGTCGATCTCGTTCAATGGGATTCAACAAAGAGAGAGAGAGAGAAAGTACATATGGCGTACATACCTCTAACTCCAAGGAACAAAAATCGGAACAATCGACTGAAACATGACAAAAAAACATCAATGAACTGAAGTAGGAACCCACTCTTTCATGCAGCACGAAAACTACTTCTGCTCTAGTAATTCACTCTGCAAAATTTTGGCTGCATTACTCTAAGTGTCTTTTCTCATCCGAGACAGTTTGTCAAAGAGTGGAAAATTGATGATCTAGAAGAACCTTGAGAGTCCTGAGAGGGTCTACAAAGAAGGTTTCAGAAGAGCATGCAAAAAACGCGGCTGTGATGCTGAGGCCTGTCGCAGCGGGAGGGGTCGTCGGCAGGAAACAATTGAGGTACGATTCCACATGATTCCACCAGATTCCACCTTTGCTTCTGATTAAGATGTTGTGTCCATCTCCAATCCGTCCCGCAATACAAAATTGGGAGAACTTGACACAAAAAAGGCCTGCAACTGCAATGGTGGACTTGCAGTTGTTGCCGTGCCGGCAGTCATGCCAGATGCTCTGACCTCCAACTGGTTTCAAACACATGTTTTACTCCCAATGATCAAGTGGACCAACCTGCACTGATCTTGTGGCACTATTTCCTCACACATGTGCTGCAATTTGACACCCATTGAATTGTGGGAAAGTATTACGCATATCATACAAATGTGTATATATATAGATACATATACTAAACAAATAGTGTTGCAGCTGATGCTGATGGCACGTGAGCGGAGCAAGGCATCATCACAAGGACATGCGGTTACAGTTCAAAAGAATGGAAATGACTGATTATATATTTACTAGTTACAGTGCAAGTTCAAAGTCCTTGTGCGGTCGGCCATCTGCCGCCACCAGCCGCAGGAGCAGTAGCGGCAGGAGCAGCGGCCACAATGGGTGCACCGGGGCCCACTGGGCGTACAAACATCGGCCGCTGGCCCTGCACCACGACAAGTGGCACTATCGTTTTCATACCTTAATATCTGAGTCGTGCTTTAACAAGCGAATCGACACGTTCACGAAAGTTCCGTCAGGTTTCACACGCCCGCCTGCATCGTTGACCCACATCGAGATCTTAAACCAATGCTGCCACGTGACAATCCAGCCATGATACAGTTCGCATGGGTAGCGCACTGACAATGACGCTTTGGCTTCGTCGCTGTGAAAACAACTGTCAGCAACCTACGCAAAGGATCACAACAAAACTGTCAAAGGGACAATACAAAAAATTCGCAAGTCAAATACATCGCCGTAAATATCAAACACTTTCGGTTCCAAACTTGCCCGGGTGGAAAAACTAAGCATCATTAGACCCTGGCTGTGGTGCCCAAGTGCCATACAGGGTTCGCGTGCCCCTCCAAAGTTGCTAGGTGGCACAGTTCAAAGATTTTGGGGGGGAAGTTTTTGCTGAACAGACGAAAAATGCGCAAGGCATCTTTGATGTCGTGATTCTGCCCGAGCGAGACTGCACTCATGGAGACCGACCGAGAGAGACCGCGACCAAGACAAACAGACCAAGAAAGAGACAAACAGAGCGGGCGGCTTCAACCGCGAAGTGGTGTGAATGTTTAATTCTTCCAGTGCCCTATCGACGCAAAGCTGCTTTGTGGATCGCTTGTGGCGTGATGTACTTTTGCGAAAACGGTTGTGACTCTTTTCACCAAAAGGGCTAGCGGTACGCATGTGGGTTTATGGCACCTGGAGACATGCTTTACAAGAACCACTGCTGGTACAACGTGTTTCTTTGCACCCTCCTTAAAGTGTGGCTCAGGTGTCTCCGGTTTGCCAATCTGTACGTTGCGTATTGTGTTTTTTTCTTTGTGGCCTTCGACCACATTGAACCATTTTGAACTTCTTTACATCCACGCTGCAAAATGCCGCACAGAATTCATGGAGAAACATCTGGTTGAGAACCAGGCTCATGAGTAGTAAAGTCTCAAGGGCTGTCAACCAGGTGTTCCCCGGCAAGAACATGGGATTTGCTATCGCTGGGTGTTCTCTGAGATACCACTCTGGCACAAAGTGGAAGAAGGGGTGGCCTTCCTGGGGAAAGAGCAACAAGAAGCAGCCCCGCCGATGTTAGCCAAACCGGTCCTGCCGGACAGCGTGCCGAGCCGGGGTCTTGTGGAGCGACACCACAGCTGACCCCACAGTGGGCGCACACAAAGAAGCTGAGGAAGCAGAAGAGAAGAAACTGAAGAGGAAACTTACCTCCCTGCCACGGGGCAGGGTTGTTATTCGTTCCACAGAAGCTTGCTGCAAAGAGCGGCGCAAACCTTCTCGAAGCGAAGTTTGGACGACAAATATGTGCAAGTTTTTTTTTTGCACGGGTGGAGGCGCTGTGTGTGCCGAGAGGCACAAGTCACCTAGATTGAATTAAATAGGGTTACTGAGAGGATACGAGCCAGGGGAAGAACAAAGCCCAAACCAACAAAACCAAGCAACAAAACACCAAAAACAAAACCAAAACACGCAAACCGAACCAACCGGGCTCGTATCTCATCAGGACTGCCAGAGCCGGAGCGACTGTCTTGAAAGAGGTGAAACGGGGTATTGAATTCATTCTTCTTTCTGCGCTCAGTTCGTGAGGATCAGGAGGTAGCGGACTTCCTTTTTGCGGGCAGTGAGTATCAATGTGGCAATTTCGTGCAGACTAGTCTGCCAGACTGGCGCTCAAATGTCTGCAGGAGTGAGGAACATTGCAATCCGACCACTGTGGGGAGGCGAATCATGACTTATGTCCAAGAGCACGATTTTGCCTCTGACAGATGCAGTTTGTTCCAAACAGGCCTCATCAGTCTCGCACATGACGACATCAGCATGTAGAAATTTTCTTCCTTCGAGCTCCGATTGCGTAGTTTTTGGCACACCCCACTGAGACAGGGGATGGTCGAAGCTGTTAAGGACTCACTGTGTTCAAAATCCCAAGGAAAGTTTGCACAACGCACATTTGATTATGCACGAGCAACTCTGCACTAAGGGCTTACCGTGGGAGAGTAATGCTCAGAGGAGTCGTTTGTCAAGCTTACAAAAATCATGACCTGCAGAGGACATAGGACGGGGTGAACCAAGACAAGCAGTCCCCCCTCCACGCCCTCCCCCCCAAGGGGGAGGAGGTGACAAGAATGCGCTCCATGACCGCGGCTCCAAAATGGCGAACGGGAGCGTCAATGACGAAGCGACATGAGCTTGCGTTGCCCTCAAGGAATATTGACAGGCAAGACTCTGTTGACAAGCCTCCACTGGCTCAGCATCATCTTATTGCAATTCGAGTGCTCTTGGATCCGTGAAAACATGCACGCCCCTTGAACTACGTGAAACAGTGAAACGCCGCTATTCCTAGTACGAAGAACTGTACACTGTACTCTTCCAAGACCACCTCTTGGGAGGCAGCCCTGGGCACTGTCTATCTACTCAGTATAGACAGCAGTGTCAGCATGTCAGTTGGTAGGTATAGGTTTACTCAGAACCTGACGACAAATATGTGCAAGTAGCCAAGTGGCTGCTCACTGGCCTGGCAGTGGCCATTTCGCGGAAAAGCTGGCATCTTCTGTCGAAACACAGGACCTGCACAGTCGCCCCCCACTGGTCACTTCAGATGCACTTCCAACAAGGATATGCGTCCGATGAAAAAGACACCGCAAAAAAAACCCACTCATCCGCTCACGTGCAATCCCTGTATGAACACACATGGGAAGCACTCGTCACTAAATTATACACCAGGGCTACAACGAGACGACCAACAACTTTAGATCTGCTCGAGAGGAGAGAGAGGAGCTAGATTCTACACTACTATTAACCAGAACAATCCACTGTGTGCCCCCGGAAACTGGGTCGGGAAGCCCGAGTCAAGCTTCCTCTCATAGCCATCCGCAATAAGGAGTATGCAACGGGTTCGAGTGCGAGCGCCACAGACCCTCACTGTGCATTCACATCCTTAGGCGGCGTCCCAAGATGTTGTCCTAACCAGACGGGGTAAACACTAGTGCAAGACAGCTTTCGACGCGCAAATGACACGCCCTCGGCCTTGCGTTCACACCTAGCGAAACCTCAGAAACGGGAACATCCTTGGCTGCTAAGCTACTGGCTTATACAAAACTGGGAAAAGCACGACTTGGAGGGGTACATACGCTCGGGTCAACGCTTTCGATAAATGCGAGCAATTTGCCAAGCCTACCTGGCTTCGCTTCCTACCACCAAATGCCAAAGACAAATGGAGGGACGACTTCACTGAAGCAGTGCGCCAGGAGTGACAGCTGTCTAGGCATACAGCATTCGCGCAGAGTGTCCTTCTTCGACTGCTCGAGTGAAAGCCAACCCTTGTTACGCAAATAGGGTCAGCATCTCGTCGTCATCGCCTGCAGTTTTGTGAGCCCGCCGGGATGAGAGCCTTAGCTCCTTGTCCCTGGTTGGCGGGCAGTAGCAGTGCGGTTGATGGAAGGCGCCCAGGAAGAACCTTAGTTGCTCGTCTGCGGCAGCGTTGAGTAGTGTCTTCTCAGCACACTACCTGAAGGATCAGTCACCCCTTTGGCACATGCGTGGGAGCCATTGGGCGTGTGTTGTGCCTCCCTTGCGGGAGGGACATCAACATTTGTCAGCAGTCCGTCTTCGTTGCGATGGCTTCTTCTGCCACACACAAGAATAGCCTCTGCTCTTCATTTGCGCAAGCAGTTGTATAGCTTGTGCCAAGGAGAGGGATTTTTCCACGGCTTGATTCGCCTTGCAACCGATGACTCACTGGGCACGTGTCATAGTCACTGCTGACATTGCTCACGGCACTTCGTAGGCAGCTGCAAAATTTCGAGCGCCAACCACCGTCGGCTCGGGCGACTATACCCATGGCAAATGACTGAGGCCACCTTTTGATTGGCCCTTCCAGAGCAACCACCCACGTCCAAATGCATTTTTGCTTTCGTAGTGAATTCAGGCCCTTAGACAGTTTGCAGTCCATCTTTTCACCATCTTCTCACCCGTCTCACATCCGTACAGAGGAAACACTACTTTCATTGATGGGATGTTCTTGGTGTTGGCCGGCCTTGTGGCTTTGTTGCTTGGTTGTTTTGTTTTGTGTTGGGTGTTGTTTTGGTTCGTGTTCCTTTCCCATCAATAAGTTATGTTTCCTTTTCTTCAATGATGACCTGGGCATGCCCCGCCCACATGGCGTCCGCACTCGTGGAAAAAATTGGCTGCTAAGCTACTGGCAACCCTGGAAGGCCGCATATCCGATGGCGACAACTGTGTCCGGCAGCTTGACAATTCGAAGTGAGTGACAATATCTCCAGGCTTGTCGATCGATCGTGTGAAACCCTGGGTCCACATTGACGTGTCGGAGTCGCGCAATCGAGAAGAAAGCTTTGGCATCTAGTATCCCAGTATCGTTAGCTGGGACCCTGATAGCTTTAGGGTGGTCCTCATACTCAATACCTCGAATCTGTTCTTTGCGTTCAAACTGCTGAAAACACTCATGGACGATTAGGCAGAACTGTGTGTTCCACCATAGGTCCTCTTGAATGGGATCCTGCAGTGCTTGGTGCGTGTCGGCATCAAGCAAGGTGACAGCCAAAGGTGTCCAGGTGACTAACATAAGGCAGGTGTTCGACGAGATATTCTTCCAACATTTCCCATGTATGGTAAATGCTTACTGGCACATGAATTTGAATTGTGGTGCCAGCAATCGTATTGAGCTGAAGGCAAAGAGGACAGTTGTCGTCACCGGAGCATGGAGTTGGGACATGTTCGCCAGCGCACGTGCAGATAAGACAACAAGGCTGCTGTCTCTGTCCGGGCACTCTCACTCTAACTCTACTACCGACCACTTGAGCCCTGGTAACGGTTAAAATGCCAGGTTGCGTCGAATTAGGTGTTTACCTGTTTGCGGAGTGCTGTGCTCTGGAACGGCACCATTACGGATGGAGCCTGTCACTTGGCCATAGGAGCTGTCATAGGGCCGTATGCCTTTGAAGAATGTGCCAGGTTAAGCCAGCTATCGTTGCCCCACGTGAGAGCCATGATGGATGGCGTTGCGCCGTCCACCCTCCAGACAGGAATTCCACAAGGATGCTTCCACTCGAGTGGCATTCGGCAAGTG